GGAGGAGAAGGGATTGCGGTGTGGCCATCCCCTCTGGGGGGTTATTTCTCACTTTCTGTCTCTCTGTCTCTGTCTGCCTGGGGAGCGCACACGCCCTATAGCAAAAATCTCTCAAAAAGAAAAAAAAAAAAAAAAAACAGAGGGGAAAAAAAAAACTGGTGAACTACATGGGATTCCAGCAATGAAACCATTACGTCATCTGGTTGTCCCTAGTATTTTTTTTTTAAGAATTATTTATTTGGGACCAGCAGTTGACATAATGGCTATGTCGCTGGACTCCCATGTAGTTGACCACGGTTTGAGTCTCAGACCCAGTGGCTTAAACTCACGCTGGACATGTGTGTGCGCGTGTCCAAGATCCTGAGAGGAGAACGGAGGAGAAGGGATTGCAGCATGGCTATGCCCCCTGGGGAGTGATTTCTTGCTTTCTGTCTTTCTCTCTTTCTGGTGAGCGCACACATCCTATAGCAAAAACCTCTTCAAAAACCAAAAAAGAATTAATTATTTAATTAATTCCATTTACTATTATTATTTTTTAAATTTGACCAAAGAGAGGGAGAAAGAGAAAGCAAGAAAGCGAGCCGCCAGGTCTGGGACTCGAACTACGGTCCACCATATGAGAATCCAGTGCCTTTAACCACCAGCCCTATATGTTTTAAAGGACATATAGGTAGGCTCTCTGTCTCTCAAATATCTCCCAACCTAAAAGCCACACAGTTTACTATTTGTATTTTATTGAGATCCAATTCACATAATGTAAAATTTCCTGGGCCAGCCCTGTGGCACAGGAGGTAAGTGCCATGCATTAAAAGTTGGATCCCAAATGGCTGACCATGGTTTGAATCCCAGGCCCTACAGCCAGGAGAAAACAACATGCCAGGTGCACGTGTGTGCCTGGCAAAAATTCCAATGGGAGAGAGAAATAGAGCAAAAGGGATTGCAGCATGACCACACCCCCTGGGGTACTTTCTCCACACTCTGTCACCTGGTGAACACATGCAACCTCTGACAATAAAAAATATATTCGTATCATTTTAACCACTTCAGAGTGTACAACTCAGTAATTTTTAGTGTATTTGCAAGGTTGTAAAACCATCACCACTAATTCTAGAACATTCCCATCACCCCACCACTGAAAAATAAAAAAATAAAAAAGTCCAGTACCTGCGACTCTCTCAGGCTCTGGCCACCAAGATGGATCTGCCTGTGCTAGACAGCTCATACGCATGGAAGCCTATGGCAGGAGCCTTTTATGTCTGGTTCCTTTCACTTACCATGTTTCCGAGTTGCATCCGTTTTGTAGCATATATCAGTATCTCACTGTTTGTTTTGTGTGTGTGTGTGTGTGTGTGTGTATGTGAGTGTGTGTTTGTAATTGCCAGAGAGCATGTGTGCTTGCAGAGACAGAGAGGCAGAGAGAGAGAAAGCACTCCCAGGGAGGCACGGTTACGCTGCAGTCCCTTCTCCATTTCTCCATCCTGTCTAGCTTTGGACCACACGTGTACTCGGTATGTTTTTCAGGCTGCTAGGCTGGGATCTGAACCACGGCCGGCCATGTGAGATCTGGCCCCCTTAACCAGGAGGCTACAAGGCTTTGCTCTCATTCTTTTTTACGGCTAAGGACGAGCCTTTGTGTGGATACACTGTACTTCATTTACCCATTCATCGACTGATTGGCATTTGGGTTCTTTCCACTTCTCGCCTGCTATCAGTAATCCTATTGACTACTACTTGTGCACAAGATTTTGCACAAACGAATGTGCCTAGGAGTAGAATTGCTGGAGCATATAATCCCATTCATCACTTGTTTATTAAAGAATTATTTATTTCATTTAAACTCTTAAAATTTGGTATAGGGCATGTGCACTCACCAAAGAGAGACACACAGAGAGAGAGAGGGGGAAAGTGAGAAAGCAAGCTATTAAGTCCAGGACTAGAACATGTGGGAGTCCAGCGTCTTAACCACCATGCCACCTGCTGGCCCCCTTCTGTGTTTAACATTTTAAAGATATGTAGATTTTTTTGTTGTTGCTGTTTTGTGTTTTGTTTTGTTTGTTTGTTTTCATGAGAGAGGTAAAGAGAGAGAGAGCTGGGTACTTTCTGACAGGGTCTCGCCATGCCATGATCCTTCCTGACACAGCTTCTCAGTTAGAAGTACAGGCACATGCAGTGAGCCCGGACCTGCCACGCAGCCCCAGCTTCATGCGGCAGTGCCCTGCTGCTTGCACCACCATGGCCGAGCCCTCTGTGTTTCACTGTCTGGGGACCCACCAAACTGCATTTCACAACTACAGCACCGCTTATGTATAAGAGTTCAAATCCAGTATTTTTGGAATCCACATTTTCAAAACAAAGTATTGCCTTCCTAACCCAATCTGATGTACAGAAAGCTCTCAGGACAGCCTGAAGTCTCATAGTGCTCTGGGAGTGAGTCGGAGGGTCTGCGGCAGTGGGAGATATTACAGATGAGGAAGTGACATAGACAATGGAGGGACAAGACATTGAAGACCAAGTCTGCTCACAGTATGATTCAGCCCAGGGTGGGTTCCACTTAGAGCCTGAAGGAACGGCCGACAGACAGCTGAGGAAGCAGGAGGGAGAGTCTGGCAGGGCCAGCCCCAAGAACGAGCACCTTCATGCTGTCCAGCCTGCAGCCCACTGTCCGGGTCCCACTCAGGGTGTGAGCTCAGTAGCATGGGAGTTTATTTTCTGTCAGGGTCTGCCCATAAGATCTACACTTGCGGATCTGCCCCAGTGCAAGAGTCTTGACTCTGTTCAAAGCCACAGCAGGGGCCTTCTTCATACACCCCAGCACAGCATTTCATGAAGGAATCCTCCTCCCCTCAAGCCTACACCACCTCAGATAGGAAGGGGTATCCCACAGCCCCCTGCTGGCCCTCTGCCTTCCATGTCTATCAATGTGTCCTGATGCAGCTGTTGACTGAGCCTTCATCTCCCCTCTCCTCTCCCCCAGTCTGTGGACGGCCGGTCATCCCCATTGCCCAGAACCACAAGACCCATGGCTCCTCCAGAGCTAAGCCAGGCAACTTCCCCTGGCAAGCCTTCACCAACATCTATGGCCGTGGAGGCGGAGCCCTGCTGGGCGACAGATGGATCCTCACCGCCGCCCATACCATCTACCCCAAGGACAGCATCTCTGCCAGGAGGAACCTGAGCGTGGATGTCTTCCTGGGCCACACAGACATCGAAGAGATGCTGAAACGGGGAAACCATCCCGTCCGCCGCGTTGTTGTGCATCCAGACTACCGTCAGGACGAGTCCCACAACTTTGATGGGGACATCGCACTCCTGGAGCTCCAGCACCAGGTCCCCCTGGGCCCCCATGTCCTCCCGGTCTGTCTGCCTGACAACGAGACTTTCTACCGCAGCGGCTTGTTGGGCTACGTCAGTGGGTTTGGGGTGGAGGCAGGCTGGTTAACGACCAAGCTGAAGTACTCCAGGCTGCCCGTGGCTCCGAGAGAGGCCTGTGAGGCCTGGCTCCGACAGAGGCAGAGCACTGAGGTGTTTTCCGGCAACATGTTCTGCGTCGGAAATGAGACGCAGATACACAGTGCCTGCCAGGGGGACAGTGGTAGTGTCTATGTGGTATGGGATGACCATGCCCATCGCTGGGTGGCCACGGGTATCGTATCTTGGGGCATTGGGTGTGGCAAGGGGTATGACTTCTACACCAAAGTTCTCAGCTACGTGGACTGGATCCGGAGAGTGATGGATGGCAGGGACTGACCCTGGGTGCTTGAGCAGCGGCCAACCAGCACCATGGAGGCCCCAGTCAAGGGAGGGTTGGGAGTGAGGACTGAACCCTGTGGGGCAAGGGCAAGGAATCCCTACTCAGGTTACAGGTGCAACAAGTCATTGGTGGAGAGAAATCCTCCTTCCCTCAAGTCTACACCATCTCAGATAAAAAAGGGTGTCCCACAGCCCCTGTTGGCCCTCTCCCTTCCTCGTCTGCACTGTACCAAGGACCCCTTACGTGTCAGCAGCTTGTGCCTGGTGTCTTCTGGATCCCCTTCCTCTACTTCGACGTCCCTTCTATACTCCCCTGTGGAAAGTCACCTTCTCGCTCTCTGTTCAAGTGGAGTATGGAGGACAAGGCGTTATTTGCTTTTCATTTCTGACACATTCCAAAGACCCTTCATTGAGTCTTCAAAGATTAAGGCCATTGGCATCCCCACCTATCACAAGTCCCAGGCAATGCAGTGAGAGCTCCTTGTCTGTCCTGTCTGTACATACTAGATATTCATTCTGCACACCTCACACCACGTTTGCAAAGATGTGTTACTATCCACATTTACCCTTGAGACTGAAGCTCGGGGAGAAAAAGTGGTTCGCCCACTTCCCACAGCGGGTAGGTGACTGCAGCGGCTGTGTGTTACTAACCACATTTACCCTTGAGGAGACTGAAGCTCGGGGAGAAAAAGTGGTTCGCCCACTTCCCACAGCGGGTAGGTGACTGCAACGGCTGTGTCTTACCAGTAGGCCATGACACTTCCCAGTGGTCCTCAAGCATTTGAATCACTCATTCTCCCGTCCCGGTCGCCACATCCTCGCAGTCTCCCGCCTTAGGATGTCCTTCCGTGAAAATGGCATCACTGGCTCCCGCTGTCCTGCAGACACCCAGACGAGCCCAGCACCGTACTGGGGGGTCCTGCAGACACCCCGGCGAACCCAGCACCATACTGGGGGGATACCCAGGAGAGCCCAGCACCGTACTGGGGGTCCTGCAGACACCCCGGCAAGCCCAGCACCATACTGGGGGGATACCCAGGAGAGCCCAGCACCGTACTGGGGGGGCCTGCAGACACCCCGGCGAGCCCAACATTGTACTGAGGGGTCCGGCAGACACCCAGACAAGCCTAGCACCGTACTGGGGGGTCCTGCAGACACCCCGGCAAGCCCAGCACCATACTGGGGGGATACCCAGGAGAGCCCAGCACCGTACTGGGGGGGCCTGCAGACACCCCGGCGAGCCCAACATTGTACTGAGGGGTCCGGCAGACACCCAGACAAGCCTAGCACCGTACTGGGGGGTCCTGCAGACACCCCGGCGAGCCCAACATTGTACTGAGGGGTCCTGCAGACACCCAGACAAGCCTAGCACCGTACTGGGGGGTCCCGCAGACACCCAGACGAGCCCAGCACCGTACTGGGGGGTCCTTCAGACACCCAGGCGGGCCCAGCACAGTACCAGGGGGTCCTGCAGACACCCAGGCGGGCCCAGCACCGTACCGGGGGGTCCCGCAGACACCCACACGGGCCCAGCACCGTACCGGGGGGTCCCGCAGACACCCAGGCGGGCCCAGCACCGTACTGGGAGGTTCTGCAGACACCCGAGTCTGTGCCCATCACCGGGCCAGCACCCAACTCAAGAAGGCCAACTCTTAAGATCGACTCTTTCATTTTCAGCAGATTGGAGGGGATTTACAGTGAACAACAGAAATAAAGCACAACTGCTCAATGGAAATGGAAAACAAACACCACGAAACAGAGACAAGGGTCATTTTGTTAGCATGGACAGTCAAGTGACCACATAGTCAAAGGTTAACGTTATCTTTGGAAAATAGCAGGGTTCAAAGTTATACACGCATGGGGTTACTTCCATTTTTTTGAAGTCTGAACAGTACAAAAGACAATTAAAATACTCTCAAAATCTGAACAGAAGTGGTTTTGGGTGGTATATTTTAATGTCTGATTTCCCCCTATTCTTTTCTAACAGCTAAATTTTATTAATAAGCTTAGGTCATTTGGATTTTTTTAAAATATGTATTTATTTATTTAGAAAAATTTCTTTTACTTAACTTTATTATTTACTTATTTATTTTAATTGGACTAGAGAGGGACAAAGTGAGAGAGAGAGTGGAAAAGTGAGAAAGCAAACTGCCTGGTCCAGGACTCGAACCCCAGTTGACTATGGGGAATCAGCACCCTTAACCACCACGACACCTGCCAGCCCCTGAATGTTTTTTATTTTACTTTTTTTTTAAATTTATTTTTCTAGAGTACACATGTACTTGCCAGACAGAGACAGAGAGAAGGGAAACCACCTCTCGATGGGGCAAGATCACACCATAATCCCTTGTCCTCCATTTCTCCATCCTGGCAGGATTTTGTTTTCCAAGTCACCAGGTGCAAGATTCGAACCACATAGTCAGTCATATAGTTCACTCAACCACCAGGCCATGGAGCCAGCCCCTTTTCTTCCTCTTCTTTCGTCTTTCCTGACCTGCCAAGGCCCTGGCGCAAGCTATAGAGCAACCGGACCATGACTCACTCCTCAGCCCTAGCTCATTTGCCTGCTGGCGAAACCCTCCGGGCCTCGGTCAGTCCTGCTTCCCCATCCCTGCCCTCCAACACCGCCGGGGAGACCTGGTCACTGCTCGGTCGGCAGCTGCCCCCGCTCTGTGAGTCCTTGCAGTCCGTGGCCTGTAAGGAGTAAGCGAGTGGGTGGAAGGGTGGAGAGGGAGAGGGTCATCCGCTAAGGGAAACCAGTGCAGCCTACAGAAGCTCAACCCAGAGGCTCACTCTGCAGCAGGAGCCTCGTGAGAGAAAGTGCCGGGCGAGCTGAGAAAGACAGACTTCCAGAAGAGCAAGGTCTCAAAGCAGGGCAGGGGTCCCGGGGCCCAGCTTCCTCCCAAGAAAGTCCGGGTCCCTCCTGCTGTGCCACCTCACACTTTGCATAGGCCCAGGCAGTTGTCAGCCCCAGATGCCAGAAAAGGAGGGTGTTCTCCCGCTGGCTTCTGTAACAGCCAAGCGCATTGGCGAGCCTGAGTCCATGGTGGGGGGCAGGAGGATCTCAAAACCCAGAGCTGCTTTAGAGCCACCCCGGCGTGGCAATCGCTGTGTGTCTATTCATGAGTAAAGCAGGCCAGGGCCCTGGTGCCACCAACTCCATTCTCCTCATCCACTCTATGTGTCCTCCCCTGGCCCTCGTTCCTGTCACTTGGACTTCATCCTGGCCACTGAGACCCTGCCATTGCTGGACCAGGGAGGCTGGGTGAATAAGGATGGGCAGAACAGGGTCCATGGGAGAGGGCAGTCCAGAAAAGGGAGTCCCCACAATCTGACTCTCCGTTGCCCTTTGGGTCAGAGCCTAGTAAATATGGCAGCAACTCCCAGGAAAAAAAATCTCTGAAGAAAAGAGCAATTCTGATCAGATTGAGAAACTGAGGAGTCTGAGCCTCCAACCAAAGGCTCCCTGTCCCTGAAAATTCAGACCTTGACGTTCTGAGCCTTCCCCCCGTAGACCAGCAGGTGGCACCACCAACAGCAATTTCTAAACCAAAACTAAGTAAAATGGAAACTCAGGCTTTTTTTTTTTTTGGTTGTTTATGCAAATACTTCATTCACTTCAGCGTTCCTCCGGGAATGGTCTTCCCCTCCACCTCCACGGTCATTCCCTCCCCTTCCCTCCTCTGCATGACTGTTCTCCCCTCAGCTCACGGCACACCCAGACTCTCAGGAGAGCAAGGCTCCCACAGCAAGCCTTGAGAAATGTGAGTACGGCTGGGGGGCACCGGGCAGGGCAGGGCGGGAGGGAGAAGCCAGGGAGGGAAGTCGGGCTGCCCCAGACCTGTCGGGAGACAGGGGCACCCACCCCCTCTTCATCTGCCCTGTCTTCCCCCCAGTGTGTACATGCGCGTGCACACACACACAGATGCACCCACCCCGCTTCATCTGCCCCATCTTCCCCCCCGTGTGTACATGTGTGTGCACACACACACAGACGCACCCACCCCGCTTCCCCTCCCCCA